GGACCGAAGCTTGCGCAGAAACGGGGGGTTGGTTTCGTTGGGGACCGGCGAAATGACGTCAAGCATCGCAGAATAGAGCGTCTCACGTATGACCGCTATCGAAGAGTTCGCCTCTGGGGTTAACAGTGGACCTTGTGGCCGTGAGCGCGAATGATGACGGCTGGATGATGCGGACAACCGGTGGTTCGATATCGACGCGGGGGAAGTGGCCTCGTTATAATCAGGCGGAGGCTTGAATGCTGGCTTCAGAGGAATTGAGAAAGTGGAGCCTGCGATGATGGCTGCCTGAAGATCCTCTGCATATCTATCCTGGAAGCTCCTCCGCTGCGATATCTCGATGGCCACAGCTCTGATATCCTCTGCAACGCCGCGAATAATGTCTATCCGCCTGCTGTTGGAACTGATCGGCGGCATGTTGCACAGTATACGTGCAAGATCATGCTGCATCTGAGGCACTAGGGATTGTATGGTGGGGACGGTGCTCGCCCATACGCGAAGGAACGCAATGAACTGGGGTGGACAATTTTCGAATGAGAGATCGATGGGAGCATTGCTACTGCAATCCGGCATCTGGTGGCGGGCTTTCTTGGGGCGTGGAAGGGGAATACTCGGGGGATCGGTGGTGCAACGAAGTGCTGAGAAGAAGAGACACAAGGATGGTCCAATGATCATGAGTGTGTCGTTCTTCGCGCTGCTGAGCATCTGCGCATCGATAAGACGCTCTGCCTGAGCTTGGGTGAGAGAAGACTTGAGGTAGGAGTGGAAAGCATTCTGGATTATTTCGTCGCTCAACGTCGTGTTGCTCTGCGTACGGGTACGACCTTCTTGAAGGCAGGCCATGGTGGCCATGGTGGAAGGCATCAGCCTCGCCTATGTCATAGTGTAATTAAGTGGCAGCACCGCCACAACGCCGCCACAATCAATAACACAGCAATTGCTGTCCATGATCTGCTCAGAGCATGCATGCACCGGTGCCTTTCTTCAGCTTTCTTCGAGCCCGTTGGGGAAAGTCTATTGTCCGAATGCCAAGAGTATACTAATGTACAGATGTTGCATGAAATGGCTATATACATGGTGTATAATCAATGTTACGCGGAGCGGATGCTGTGGTTGGCTGGTTGGTATAAACAATGTTGCTCGGAAAAATAAATAATTGGCGAAGAAGAGAAAAAAAGTAATCCAAACATCCGTTATCATTCTAGTGGAAAAATATTAGTCATGCAAGAAAACGGATGAAGGAAACGGTAGTCACAAGGTCCAAAAGGTCGACGGCTGCTGCCGCGATGGTAAATAGCCTAGCTGGCGTCAAGGTCTACAAAGCCACCCACGGTCCATGGCTCCCCAAAGCCGAACTCGTCGTCCTCGTCAGCCAAGCCCAATGACACGCGCTCTGCAGCCTCCTCGGCTTGCACCTCTAGAAGCGTACGTCGCCGAACGCGTGCGAGGAGCGAATCGAGCTGCAGATAGTTATGCTCGTTTTGCACAAACCTCGCATGTCGTTTGCCGTATATATGCTATGGTGGAATAGATAAACGTACGATAAATGCCGATAAGGGAAAATTGATACTTGGTTGAAATCTGCAAACTTGACGCGACAAGACTCGCAGTATCCGGGCTTTGCACCCTCATCACGCTTCCCTAATCTGATGGTATTTGTACTCTTGCTCTTGCGCAAGATTGGCCGGCGGTTGGGAATGTCAGGTGGAGGACCCATATCGCCTTGCTTCGCAAGTTCCTTGCCAGCCTTTTTGGACATGACGACTTGTTGGTCAATTCGCCCTCGAAGAGATGGCGGCAGCTGCAGAGAGTGGCGAACCACCAATCCCATGGATGTCGTGCCCGTCGTCGACGTGATACCGACGCTGTTACCAGAAGCCGCGATATACACGGGACCTGCTCCTGACACCAGATATCCGGAGGCATTGGCGCTATCGTCGGCATCTAGATCCACATATTGCTCCTGCGCCTGTTCTTGCTCCTCTTCTCTGCGACGCAAATTGTTAAGCGATACAGTGCGGCGGAGGTCGCCCACAACACGTGTCACGTGCAAACTCGCTTCGGCGCGCTGTCGCACGAACTCACGTGCACGCAATATACGCTCAGTCTCGAACTCCCGCGCGTCCTCGTCCACTCGTTCTTGCTTCTGCGTCTTCCTATAACGTCGCTCCTCCTTTTCATCGAACTCGATGAACGGATTGCGAGAATGGGGATGGCAGTATAACACAGGCCATGGTGCCTTCTCGCCTTCTTTCTGCCGCGGATATTCGTGCGCGATGATAGTGGCAAGCTCACCCTGCATATCCTCTAGCAGAATGAAATGACTACCGCGTGAGAAGTAGTGGAAGTCGTGCCGCTTCGATGTTGGATCACGCTCACTGGTGCCATGTATCTTCTCTGCCTTGAGCAATGTCGACAGGTCGCGTTCCTGACGAGTGGACGTTGTTGCGCTCCCACGAGGCTGGTCAAGGCATCGCTCGAGCACGCTCTGCAGCTTCGTCGCAGACCAAACTTTTTGACCGAACTCGATTGCCTTGCTCACAAGATCGAGTTCAGTTGCGCTATGCATATTATGAGCATACGAATTGCATGAAGAAAGTCACACAAGCGAAGTACCCAGCAAGCTTGATAGGACTCCGGAGAACGGTGGTTGATCTACGCGACCTGGGTTTGTTCTCCTTATCCAATGGCAGGTCAACGTCTGTGGACGCAAATGGTACAGGTTTGTTGGTGATGACATGAGTGATTTGTTTCGAAAAAAAGTCCTCAACACTCTACAATGTATCACATCAACGTTTACTCAACACCTACAACAAGTGAAGATAAATAAGATGCGCACCGCTCCAAGATGCGAAACCATATGCGACAATCTCTCATAGTCTGCCTCCGGGCAATCTGGATCGAAATAGAAGGTCCATCTAGGGAACGCGCGGGTATACTTCTCCTTGAACTCGAGTCTCTGTTGCTCGCGCTCCTGGTGCCTACGCTCGCGCTCCGCGTCTTTGGCCGGTTTCTCCCGTGCAACAGCAGCGAAAGATATTGTATTGGATCTGGCGCGTTTAATGGAAGCGGCGACAGGCTCAGGCGAGCGTGGTCGCTTGAAGGATACGGAACGGGCGTTGGATGGGACGCGCGGGCGTTCGGTGAGAGGACGACGACTAGGGAGGGTGGCCATTTCGCAGGAAAGGGAAGGGAAGGGACACTATAAGGAGAAAAAGCGATATGAGAGTCGTGAACAAACCCGTTCACTGGCCAGCTTGCTGCCAGCCACTCGAACACTCGTCAACAGAAGGCTCTTGTCAAGTTGCCATCTGAACTTGATCAAGTTGAGATTGTGTTGATTGTACCCCTAACCCTAGCAACACTTCACTTGGCCTCGTTGTTCGTGCAGCCTGAGCGTGTCTTGCGACGGTTTGCGTCGATCTGGACGTTGCGTACACCATGGCAGCGTATGCTACTACTAGGCATGTGAATTCCCCAGCAGGAGTAACAGACTACCAGACGACTCTTTTCCGGAGACTTACGTGGGAGGGCACCGTTCCCCTCGAGATTCGAGTCGACTCTAAAGAGCTGCCAGCTAACTCTAACCGTGGGCTTGAGTGCTATTATACTCAGGCACCTCGAGTCAGTTATCTTCCTCTGCTGGTTCCCCAGATCCGCAAATTCCTCATGGATCTTGTCTTCGATGAAGCGGCATCTAAAGACCTAAAGGAGGAAGATTGGTGGTTCGAGCACGAGAACGGGACGTTGTTGAAATGGTATACGCTCGGATATCTAGTTGCGTTGTATTGTTGCTTGCTCACACTATAATTCATTCTTCAGGCACTGGCCAATAGGTCTCCTCTATGATAACCACACCATAGCAACATCCCTACAGCCCTCAACATCTGCTCCTGTCTTCGCCCCCATGCGGCTCATTTTGCACCTTGCGTCACCCCCTATGGACAAGCTTCTGCTGCAGCCCAGTGCTGAAGCGTGCAAACAAGCATTCATGGGCCAGTTGAAGGAAGCCGATTTCATTCGATGGGGCAGTACGAAGCGCATGACCAGCCTCAGGAAGGCAGACCAAGATGGCATCTGGGAGGGTATCAAAGAGCGTACGTCCACGGCGTTTTTGTGTTGCGGCCTCTCGACGTATGGTGCCTGAACAGATAATTTTGATGATTACTGGAGAGTCGCTTCAAAAGTCACACCGTCGACTGGCACCGGCTCGCGTGCCATGTCTCCGCCGCCAGGGAATTCCTCATCACACATCTCCCCTCCGTCGGCCGATGCACAGGGTCCGTCTGACCGTGAAGGGGCGCATAACGTGCGCAGCGTACCCGCTCGTATCTATTTACCGGATGGGCCTGTGCTGCAGGATCTGGTACCTCCCCTCCTCGAAGACGGTACGTTGACTTAGACATGCGCGCATCTGACACTTGTCTTGCTAATGTAGATTCACCCTTGGTAGGAACTCCTAATACTCTTGAACACTTTTTGAGGGCACATATACCACTTCTTTTCCCTGAGCCGACGGCCCCATCAACACCGACGCTATCGCGTGTTGTTCAGCCGACGCCTCGGAAGATCGAGCTGGCCTATGCTTTGATTCAAGGCATCTTGGCTCCGTTGGAGTCTGAAATGGCGTGGTTGGGGACATGTATGGCAGGCGCGGATGGATGGGTTAACGTTTGCATCGGCGTCAAGTCTAACAAGACTTAATTTCCTGGTGCCATCAGCGGTTTCTGGGCGATCCATTTCGGCATACATATGTCCTGCTGCCATATATTCTTATGCGGATTATAATATAAAGGTAGATACCCATTTCTGTTGGATGTCCTCATGGACCTCTGCATACGCTGACGGTTGCGAGACGTCGATTGTCAATCGGAGTGTCCGTTGTTAATAGAGTAATAGGGTAATTCGATCTTGTGGTCTGAATAAATCGGAAATTAGCTGGACGGTCGCTAAGCGCAAACTCAACTCATCGATCAAAAAAACTTGTTGATCTAACGACAAAATGGACGCGCTGGGAATTGAACCCAGGACCTCTTCCAAGCATCATAAGTCAATAAAGATGCTAAGGAAGCGTGCTACCACTGTACCACGCGCCCTGCGTCAGCCAACCAGAATCAAATTATGAGAAGAGATCCACATCAAACGATCGATATCCACTAGCTATCGCTGGCAGAACTCTGTTTCAACCACCAGAACAACAACACCATGGCTGACGCTGTCAGTGGACCAACGAATGTCCAGCACCTCTTCACTTGCATATCATGCACGGTCGCCTTCGTCTCGGCCCATGATCAGCGTGAGCAGTTTGTTCCCGCCAGCCGGCCGTGTACTCACCCTCTTTACTTGGCAGGAGCCCACTATCGATCAGACCACCACAGATATAACATGAAGCGGCGGGTGGCTGGTCTTCCACCCGTCAGCGCTCATGTATTCGATCAAAAGGTCCTGGAGCGGCGCCGAGAGACCGCCATCACGACCTCTCCCAAGGGATCGATTTGTGAAGTGTGCAAGTACGTCTTCAAACTTCGAGAACTTTCAACTGTCTCTTCATCCTTTTTTGATACAGCAAGGCATACACTACGGAGAATGCTTATCGGTCGCATATTAACTCTAAAAAGCACAAGGAGAACGAGCTGAAAGCTACTGGTAAAGCGCGTGCACCTGCCGAAACGCCCGCCAAGGAGGATGTCATCACCATCGATGCCCACGACCGACCAGATTCAGAGGGAAATGTCGAACCCGAGGCTGTGCAAAACTCTATCAATACGTTGACCATCAAGGAGGATACTACTGAAGAGGAAGTTGTACAGACCATTGACCAGAAAATCGCTGCCGTCCGCGCCCGACTTTCTCCATTTACAGACTGTCTCTTCTGTTCGCATACTTCCTCTTGCATTTCTGATAACCTCACACACATGTCCTCTTTTCATTCGTTTTTCATCCCTGACGCGGAATACCTCATCGATCTCCCAGGACTCGTCGAGTATCTGGGGGAGAAAATCGCCGTGGGCAATGTCTGCATCCATTGCAACGGGAAAGGACGCGAGTTTCGGACGTTAGAAGCCGTACGCAAGCACATGCTCGATAAGTCGCACTGCAAGATCGCGTACAGCACTGAGCGCGAGAAGCTTGAGATATCCGACTTCTATGACTTCAGTAGCTCCTACCCTGATGCCTTAGAGAAAGCGCAGGCCAGTGACGGTGATGAAGACGACAACTGGGAAGACGAAGATGGCGACGACGATGTTGACGAGGTCGTTGAAATCGACAGCAGCGACCAAGACGAGGGTGCGGATTCAAGTTCGGCGGAATTGTCTGATGAAGACCTTCCCAATAATGAACTTGCCTACGGCGACACGCCATACGAACTGGTGCTACCTTCTGGTGCTCGAATCGGTCACAGGGCTATGAAGCGATATTACTCACAGTCCCTCGTACCACGGCGAAGCAGTGGCAGGAATGCCGAGGACCCGACGTCGGGCGCTGCCCTCGTGCGCCAGCTACTGGCAGACAAGAACTCCGCCCTTGTCCCACGCAGAGGCGGCTTTGGTGCTTTCGGCAGCGGCACAGACGTGGTTAAAGCAAGAAATAGGGGCGAGGCTAGGGAAGCTGGCCGCCATGTCCGCGAATTCAGAGACCAGAAACGTAGAGAAGATTTCAAAACGCGCATTGGGTTTATCAATAACAATCAGAAGCATTTCCGCGACCCATGTACGTCTTAACTCTCTGCAGCTCGTTCAATTCACTGACTACTCTTTCGATCATGGCAGTATTGCAATGACCTTCTAATATTTCTGTGTTCGTACGTACTTCCTGGCTCTTTACCCATCTTTACTCTCATTCAAGCCACGCAAACATATGAAAATGTCATCATAATAGTCGTGACCTCGGCGGTCTCCCGAGTGAGAAGTTTGATAACAACTAGTGAACAGTAAAAGCTCCATCTCTAGTGAATTCATCTGCAAGGACGAGAAGTGATTATAAAGTCAATGGAACAAGAAAAAGAGACCCGACAGCTGGAATCTGAGGTATATAATAAGGAGGTAACAAGACGAACAAAAATTGCAAAAGACAAAGCGAAAAAAATGGGAATAGATGCAAATAAGTAATGCTAATACAAATAAGCTGCAGGAACCACGCCCTCTCGCCCTGTTCGAATGTCACGGGCATACCACCAACTACAAACGGCATCAGATCACTTGGCTTCTGCGAGTAATAACACAACTTACGCTGCATCACGATCATCCAGAACCTCGACCTCATCTCCCGCCAACAGCGGTAGCTCGCCCTCACCATGACCATCAAACGAGTACCGGACATGTGCTGGCCGGCTCGCTTCACCGCCAAGAAGTGTGCCGTGGATGGCGTCGGACGGGGTCTCTGCACGAACGTAGTTGCTCTCATCTGGCGCGAAAGGATCGGTCTCTTGTGCTGTCGGAGACACAGGCGTTTCCGCCGTCATCATCATTTTTTCGTCTGCATCCCCGTCTTGACTGTGCCGCACGAACGGATTGCCCAGGATGGTCGTCCGTGTCGCGGCGTTGACATGCTCAAGCAGGGACGACGGGCGATGCTGTACCGAATCGTCGTCGTCGTCCTGCAGCTTATCGATTCTATCATCCCGACGCGAGAACAGTGTCCATATGATACCGATGAGAGCGAGCAGGAAGACAACGCCGGCTGATATGGCAATGGAAATGAGGATGACGATGCCCGTAGCGAGGTATTCTGTCAGGTGTTGCATGTCAGCAGAGTAGATCCCAAAAATCCAAATAAAAGGCACAAACTGTGTTGGCTGAAGCTGAAGGTGGATAATGAGTTGAATAGACCTGCGATAGTTCCCGAAGTGCCGGTGGAAGTAGAAGATACAATGTATGGAGTGAATGTTTGTCCATCAAATAGTGCAGAAGATGCGTTGCCGTATGAACCGACAGACAAAGACCCGGATATCATCAAAAGACGATCAGACTGGACAATACTATTTGCATTATGATCACTCTGGAGAGGAACCATGACCAATTGCGCAACGCTTGAGCTATCGTTCAGAGAGGAACCTGATAATTTGCTTGTGCATGAGAAACTACGACTGAAAAACACAATAATATCTTACCAATGGAACTCCACTGAACACCGTTCCAGTATGACAAAAATGCAGTCGAATTATCACTGGAGCTGGTGAAGATCAGTTTAGCGTCGATAACCGAATGAGTCCTGCGTACCGTCCAGCTGCAAAAATGCTGCTTTCATTACCATTGTTGACCGCCAGGGCCGTAACTGGACCTGGGAGATCTGAACCGTCTCCGATAGCTGTCCACGAATTGTTAGAAAAAGTAAATTGGACAACGTTGGCGGATGTTCCGGCAGATAGCGCAATGGATCCACATGCGACTAGGATCCCATCACTAGACTGTCACAGTTGTTAGCCCTCTCGAAGGTATATGGTACAAAATAACACCCACCCCTGCGTAGTCCACGGTGGCAATTTCTCCCTGGATGCCCCCGCCCAAAGCCGTCCACTGATTCGAACTAGTGTCCAACAAACAAATAGCTTCGCAAGAAAGCGAACCCAACTGGGAGAACGTTCCCGCAATGAATATGGAATTGGCCACCGCCGACGTTTTAGTAATGGACCGAACGATCACAGATGAGCCGCTGGCTGCTTCAGGCGCCTGGATACCTGATATCTCATACGCCTGCGATGCCAGGTTGTAGATGGCGAATCCGTTGGCAGTGGTACCTTCGATGGTAAACTCCCCACCAATGTATAGTTTGTCGCCATCGACAAGAAGAGAGTATACCGTGCCATTGATTTGATTTCCCTGCAAGCCAGTCACAGCCTCCGAGTCCGGGTCATAGATTGCCACCGCCAGGTATCCGGCCGACGTTGAGAAGTTCCCCCCCAAGATGACAACTTGCGACGACGACGACGAATTTGTCCAAAATGCACCTGCAAGAACGACGGGCGCAGTAGTATTGACAGTAGCTGGGAGAGCGGAAATGCTGGTACTAGAACGACGGAAGAAGCTGGGCAGCGAAAAATGCGGCAGCCATGGCGGGCGCTCATTGAGGCTACGTTTGGAAGACGACGAAGAGGTGGTACTTGAAGAGACGTCCCCGCTCAGCTGTACGTTGACAGACGTGAAGTCGGGTCCATTGTCACCGTTGGTAAGCATCACGAAACCAGAAGCACTCAAGTCTTCCAGTGCGTCGACACTGCCAGCAACAAACTGGCTGGACGAGGAAGTGCCGTTTGCAACGAGAGTCATGGCACCAACGACGAAGCCTTGCCCAGACGCCCATGTACTGTTATTGACATTCCAGACCGCCAACCCAGGAACAGCGGTGCCCTGGTCACTGTCTGCTGACGAAAGCAAAGTGGTAAAATTGCCAGCAACAATGAGTTGACCGTCATCAGTCAATCCCAACGATGTGACCGCTCCGTCGACACCAGAACCTACGGTACTCCATGAACTGCTTTCCACATCATACACAGCGATGTTGCGCAATTTCCCTGACGTGGACCCCGAAGCAGTATCGTTGAACGACCCGCCAACGAACAGCTGGTCTGCGGAGATAACCAGCGCCGTCACGACCCCGTTCAGCCCATAATCAGCTAAGCGAGAAACAGTGCCATCATTGTACTCCAGCACATTGCTCGCACCGGATGCGATATCTCCGGAAAGCGTAAAATTTCCGCCTACGAAGATGCTGCCCGACGAGTGGTGCGCGACCGTGGCGATCTCAGTTTTCGAACTCGATGTAAGACTGGAGTTCCCACCCGCTCCTGTGAACAATGCGAAGCCGATCACATCTGTATTAGTTTCAGTTTTGTTTGGCAAACGGTTCATCGCGTCGTATGTAGCATCAGAACTAATCGGCCATTCGAGGAAACCGAAGGACGATACTGAAGAGCTAGTCAATGTGCTGTTGGAAGATGAGGACGAGTTTGATGTGGACGCATAAGTCAAGATTAGCTCGACGCTGGCAGCGACCAGTTCTAGCGTGCCACTGCCGGTCGAGTTATCTGCAAGCGTCATCGTCACGGTCGTTACGAAGTCGGGCTCAGTAGGATAGATGGGACCGCTGTAGACGAGCC